TTTCCCTTCCCCTTAGTCCGGCCTCAAGTTTCTTCTTCCTTTTCCCCTTGCCCCCCAGCCCCTGGGGTTTCTGGGAGTTGCAGTCCAAATGAATATATTTCACAGATCTGCAGGCTTCCCCGTGATTTCTTCTGCTATTACACACATTACAGGTTTCCCTCGCTTTATTCAGGTTCTGTATGTGCGAATTTGCTCTCATGCAATGACCATTTTTATACCCAAAATCAGTTATATGTGAGATCAATTCACTCTTATGCGATCAATGTGGTGGAAGCCCACAGTCAGCTGCTTTGTGTGGTGCACTGTGGGAGTGACACACCCAAAACTTATTCTCCTGTGTGGATCTGTGCTCCTCACTCATTGTCTGCAAGACGTATTTCTGTAGTTGTCATCCTCATTATGGCTTCTAAGCATCCTGCTAGCTTATCTCCTACCCCTCTGCTATTGGTGAGTACCAACATTGTCTTGTAAAAGTGGTAGAAATGGGTCTGGGGGTCAGTACAGCCGAAGACTTAGAATGTATTCCTATTTGTTACATTGGAAAATGGGTTCCCTTTATGCAAATTCAAGTTATGATGTTTTCTAGGAACACATGTACAGCATAAAGTGTGGGAAACCTTTACCTTGGGATAAGAAAACAGAGCACTAAAGCTAATTAAATCAACTAAGCTCACTGTTTAAAGGGATCTGCCCCTCCCCCCAAAAAACACCCTACTAGTGCTACAGAAATACAGCTACATGACTTGCTAGGCTTCTGCATAGACAAAGCAATGCAAATGCTATGGATACCAGCTGTGTATTAACTATGTATGTACACACAAGCTATTCTTTAGCCCATGCCCACTCAAGTGTTTTTGTGTTGGCACGAGAGCATTTGTTCTAGTGTTCACACTACTTATAGCAACCTAGTGACTCCGATTTCTCTATTCTCTTAATATCTTTTTTCTCTTCTAGTCTCTTCCTCCCCACCCCCACCACTTCCCCCAAATTTTCCTTCACAATCATGTGCCTATCTACAGGGGAAAAATTAAGAAGTAAACAAGATTTTTAAAAATACTTTAAAAGCATGCAATTAAAAGATGGTTATAACAAGGAAAAATACTAGGGAAATATCTCTGTATTTTGCATTCAAATAAAGCAGCCAGCAGTAATTTAACTCAAACCACTAGTTGCCATGGGACACATGCATACATGATGATTCTGATGAAGAGTCCATGCTTTTGGCTGTGGTATTTGGTTGGCAAAAGTTTTGCCTCAACAGGGTTTTCTAAAAGAATATTCTCTGCATCTGGAATTAGTCTAGCAGTTAGCAGTAGGTGATTTAAAGAAACCTGCACCCATCGTTTAGCCACATGAAAAATGAAATAAATGTGAAAGCAATCAATGCAACAGCAGCCTCATCAGATAAAAATGTTAAGCCAGTTACTCTTGTACTCAAGGGGAATCAGTATGAGAAGCAGGAGGTCTGTTGATCACATAAGGAAACAGGCTCTCCTCTGAAGGCTTTAGGACTGAAGGATAGCTATTTTATTTCTTGCCTGGCATAGTAGTTGTCTGTCAGTTTTAAAAGATGGTGATTGTTGAGAAGCCTATGGAAGCCAATTATGACATAGCGAGGCACCGTTTTGCTAATTAAATCAGCTAAGCTTCAGCCTTCAGTATGTATAACAAAATTGGACAAAGCTATTGAAATCAGCTGCATCTGTGATTGATTTGATTCATTTTTTGGCCAGAATCTACTAGTGCTAAATACTTCACTTGCAAAAAGTTCAGTGACAAAGCCTAATTTAATAGTCTAAGCATCAAATCTGAAAGACCAGGGGTGATTTTCTGTGCACCCAGCAGAAAACTCCTAATCCAGAGGGAATGGAGATGCAAATGCATAGGTACCTGTAAGAAAACTCTCTCTCCTGCAGACCCAGACAGGCCTCTAGAGTCATCTAAGTTACTGTAGTCAGGTGGTTATGGGTCACAATACTACCTGAAGTTTCTGATGTTCTGTATAAGGTCCTCCTATCAAGGGCTCTTATAGCCCCCTCCATACATCAGGGCTGCAAATGGGCACCATCAGAAGTCAGTTTTATGACCATCCTTTTCATTTTAGTTTGAAGGAGAAATCCTCCAGTGTGGAATCAGTTGCTTTTACAATGAGTGTTATGTGTAAAAGGGGCTTGAATTGTACTGAAGCCTTCATGCCTAGATACCTCCATAACTACAGATTCTACTTCAGGTAAGGCCAGCCTTAGCTTTTCATCCTTCTGTATAGTTTAATGTGTATATGTCGGGGACTTCCTTTGAAAACTGTTTCTGTCTGCATTGTATGGGTACATTTCACCAGTATAAAGACTGCTCAACTACCTCTGGACTACACTTTCTTCCTTTTTTACTATTTCCCTGTGTTCTGTGCAGAGGTTAACTTGCAAAGGTGAAGTTACATTAGGGGAATCCAACTGGGAAGTGGAAGGGTGAGCAAAAAAAAATAAATCCTGAAGCCAAATAATGCTATACAACTAACGTGAATATTGCTGGTAGTTACTTGTTCTATAAAAATGAGTAGATCTAAAAAAGTAGGGCATTAAAGATAAATGTTGCCACAGTGTGAGTTGGAAAATATATGTTGTGTACTTAACATCTGGTGAATTGTGTAGATCCTGGAAGTTTTGGAGTAGAGATGTTTTAGTAATAGTGTCTTAAAAATATTTGTGGGAAATAGGTAGCTATCAAGAACTGAGAATCTAGTAAGTGGAGTCCAACAGTGATGGATTAAAGGCTGGATGAAGTTATGTGAAGTTGACAGCAGGAGATGGATAGATAGGCTGACAGTTAGTCACCTGATCAAAATCCAGCCCCAGTAGTAAGTAAGTAGTAAAAGTGTGCTGGGAATGACCTCCACTGTGAAAGCTAAAAATAGGTGTCAAAGTGAACTTTTCACCTTTTATGTGTTACTGTCTGTGCCAATCCTTTCAGATTAATGAAGAACTCTAGTGCAGAATCAGGTGAAGATACAGAGATGAAACCACCAAAAGGCATATCAGTTCATTCAGTGAAGTTCATAATACCAGTCTCTTACAATTCAATGAAAATAAAGTAGTAACAATAAGAATTTGCATATACATGGTATCTCTCTTTTCACAGACATCTAGGTTTATTTAAGCATAAGACTATCCCTGGAAAGCAGATGGAACTATCCCCATTTTACATACAAGAACCTTACTCTTGGGGTAGGGGCCTATGAATAAGTTACCACAATGTAAGCTAAATTTTGAATTTACAGAGCATCAGCTATCATGTTGTGTTAAATGAGAAGTAGCTCACCCCTTGGTGGAAATGGGATAAGCTACTTTGCATTCCTAATGGCTCAAGCCAATATATGCACTGTCTGTCCCTTGATGGTTTAAGATAAATCAGACTCCCCAGAATCCTAGAATGCTCTTTGGGCTGGGCAGGGCTCTCTGTTGCATAACAGGGCTGGCCCCTCCCCTCTGCTCCCTGGCTGCAGCTCCAGAGACTGAGGGCTGCTCCCCCGGTTCCCTCACCACTCCCTGCTAAGCAGGAATTTCCCTCTCCCCCTTGCCTTGTGGAGCGGTGTCTGTGTATTAGCCAGCAGACCACATGCTGGCTAGGGTCCCTGCTAAATCAACAGGTATCTGGTAATGTCCCTCTGTTGTTTTCTTAATGGGGTGATAAACACTGAGTTAGGGGTGATAAAAAACTGTTATCAATTCCCTGATGGGCTAATCAGAGCATACTGCCAGGGCCTGGTCATGCAGCCCCTCAGCTCAGTGAAAGGAAGGGAGTGCTGCTGTAGCTCCCTCTGGCTTCTAGCCTAAGTCACTGCAGGCATGTACCTACATTTCTGGGATAACTGTCCGGTTACAAAACTGATTTAGTCTAGCCAGGTTAGACTAACCTGCAAAGATTGAATCAATGGAGGCTCAGGCTTTTTGAATGTCTGTCCCTAGCCTTAGAAACACTAGGCTACAGTTTACCTAGGCATCCTGGGCATAATGTCCTGTCTTTGTTAATTATGCTAAGCAAGTTCAGTGCAAACTGGGTGTAGAATGATACAAAACAACATTCTGTACTGATTTGCACCAGTAGTAGGCACTTGCATGTATATACATTTTTCATTCATACTTAACTCCCTGTTCTCTTACTGCAGTAGTGGCATATAATCAATATAGTAAGACTCACTAGTTTTCACAGAGTGAATAAAATTGGCTTCTTTTTACATGGATGTGAAAGGTGAGGTAGTTCAGAATTGGATTAATTTTGTAGAGAAGTTCTTTAAGGAATCATAGGATTCCAAAGGGCATATAAATATCCATTAGGCCTGTGCGGATAGGTAACTATTCGCTCTGGCTTCGGATCCAGCCGCTTCAGATTCCAGCAGTCCAACCTGGAGCTCCGTACCAGGTTTCTGCTTTGATCTGGCTGAAGGGGCTCTGGAACTTTGGCGTCGCCTCGGAGATCCGGCCATAGGGTATAACAGGGAATCAGTGAAATATCTATAACTTTGTTGTTTTTTGTCTGATTTGGATGAAACTTGATGGGGTGGTAGCCTCTGTGGATAGCATTAAGCCTACCAAGTTTCAAGAAGATCAGTGCAGGAGTTTGGGGGGAACTGTACCCCAAATTATTGTAAAAACTGTACCCCTGCACTTATATCCTTAAAAGTTGGCAGGCTTCATGGCTACAGCAGGGGCTACCATCCCTGCAGCTTTCATCCTGCTGCACCTTAACACACACAGTGTCACCCATGTCATGAGTTTTGCTTGTCCGCAGCTTGAGGTGCAGTTCCCCCCAAACCCCTATGCTGATTTTCTTGAAACTTGGCAGGTTTGTGGCCTTACCAGGGGCCACCACCCGTGGAGTTTTCACCCCCTTGTGGTGTAACACATACACATGACATGAGTTTTGCTTTCAGGAATTTGGGGTGCAGTTTCCCCCAAAACCCTGCACCAATCTTCTTGAAATTTAGTAGACTTCATGCTCTCAGCAGAGGCTACCACCCTTAAAAGTTTTATCCAAATCAGACAAAAAAACAACAAAGTTATAGATATTTTATTGTTTCCCCATTATACTCTATGGCCGAATTGGCTCTGAATCTTTTCTGAATCGATTCGGAAAGCCTAAAGCTTCCAGAGATTTGATTTGGATTCATAGATTCGGCCTCCAAATCATCTGAATCATCTCTGAATCTGTACCATGATCTGAAGCTTTGCACAGCCCTAATAGCCATTGAGTCAGTGGTGTTTAATGATGTATAGTTATTCTTTCTACACAGCAGACAACTGTACAGTCAGAATGTATGCAGTCATTAGTAGACTTATGCAGTTGTTAGTAGACTAATACTCCTTGAAAGTATATTACTTAAATGTACTCTGCAAACAGGGTGATTTGGAAGGAAACTGCTAGGTATATTCTGTACTATTACAGTGTATATTATAGTTCATACTGCATTTGGCTGCTATAATAAGGAATAATAAGTTCTTATAATAAGTTATTGTAATAAGGAATAATAATTGTGATTATTGTGACAAAAGATGTAAGAAACGTGGCTCCTAAAGGAGGTGGTGCTCTCGCCTACCTAGGGGGAGTCTTCAAGAGGAGGTTGGATAGTTACCTGGCTGGGGTATTATGATCCCAGCACTCGTTCCTGCCCAGGGCAGGGGGTTGGACTTGATGATGTGTTCAGGCCCCTTCTGACCCTAGAAACTATGAAACATAAGGTATGTACATAAGGTAAGGTACATAAGGTATGTTTGTACAGTCTCCAGAATAATCCCAAGGCAGTTAATGAGAAGCATATCATGAATATATATTTTAATATTTTTTCTCTACCTTATTTGATTTTTGGCATCTTCCCCTCTTTGCTCCCCATGAAACCTCCCCTTGACACCAGAAGTAATTGTTCAGTGATCAGCATTGTCTACCTGTCATCACTTGAAGCATAAGATTTTATGACCCGTAAGAATAATTTGTGCATCGTGTCCCTGACTATCGTGTATCACAAACTCCTAGTGCTTTGTAATGGGACCTGTCCCTGTGATTCTGAGCATGCTTTGCTTTGTGGTTTCCTTTGTTACTTGTCTCTTTCTGGAGGTGTGTTTGAAACGGTACCAGCTCTCTGACCTCAAGGCCACCACTTTCCTCTGTAGATTGATATGAAGGGAAGGTGTACTTGTGTAGTTCTTTTTGCCATGTATAGTGATTTTATGTGAAAGGGAAACTAGACCGGGGGGGGGGGGGGGGGAAATTTCCTTGTTATTTTCTGTGGCGTATTATTATAAAGCCTGAATGTAATGAGCTGGCCAAAGACACTGGGACCTATACCAAGGAACCCCAGAGCCAACGGCAAATCATGCCTTGCAGTCACCTTAAAATCTGACCCATGTAGAGTATTATACCTGACCTATGCCATCTAATCGGCAGTTTATCCATTTCCCCAAGAGGGAGAGAACTTGTTAAAAGTATGTGAGGCCAGTATCTGTTTGAATCTGGACAGACTGCCACTTATATAATAAACATCATTTTAGCACCACCAGAACTGAATTAAAGACAACAGGAGCTTGCATGTATTTGCCTTGGACAAGACAGCTGTGCTTTATACCTGTAAACTCTAACAGAAGGAGACACACATTGACACTGGGTTGCAATGGCACTCATAGAATTGTAAGTGAGAAAGGAGAGGAATAAAAAAGAATGACAGAGAAAATAGGGAAGCAGCAGAATATGAGGGCAGCCATAGATGACAGCAAAACCTGAATAGATTATTAGAGGTGTATTGACTTGTTTCTGATTAGTTAGCAATGAGAAATCTTTGGCCAAATGTTCAATCTATTCAAGAACAGAATGTTATTGGAAGACTCTGAAATATTTAACTAATTCATTTATTTTCTTTCATTATTTTTCATTTTATTGTTTCTTCTGCATTTTTGGGCACCAGAAAGGAATGAGATTGAGAGCAATGAAACACTGAGTTGTTGTTTGTTTTTTTTTACATGGCATTTTTGGCTTGGTCAGGAAGAAATATTCTCGTTATCATATGGACATGCTTGTTCTTAGGCAGTCTGCCAGCTCCATATTTCTTGAGTTAAGTACACCAGAGAGGCATCTGAACTTTGTGTGCTTATTATAGTTTTTCATCCATAAATCACAATCATATATATGGTCAGTTAGTTTTCTTTTATAGAAAATACACCAAAAAGGAAAAGCAAAAAGTTCATA